AGAATTGCAGAAATACTGTATTAATACGAGTAAAATAATAATGAAGTTATTATATTATATTATAAGTATATATGTTATAGTGATTAAATGTTTAATCAGATGTTCGGTTTTAGTGCACATAATACTATGTGATGCAAAAATGTTGAAACTAGCGCAATAAATGATAAAATGCTTGCTAATTATTAAATTTATCAATTTTCATTGAAATGGCACTTGATCTGCACTTGGTTTAGGTATGGGCTTACTTTAAAATATCTACTTGACCTTGCAATTCTTGAACTTCAGAATGTCACACGTAATCCTTTGTAATAAAGTTTTATATATAAAGCTAAATTGAGTTGTGATAATTTGTTATTTTAGTATTTCATTCTTAGCAACAAAATATATACTTTGCAATAAATTACAAAGCATAATTTTGTTTTTACTTTTCATTTACTAAAACAATTAAAATATTCAATGAGTTTAACGGCGGCTGAGAAAGATATCGTTAGGAATACCTGGGCTCTGGTCAGAACGGATGTCAAAGGAAATGGATCCGATTTATTTCTAAGGTATATACAATTGTTTTAAATTAAATTTTTATTTTAATAAATGCATAAAATTTTAATTTTCAAGTTATTAATACCAGAATTAATAGATATACTAAATAATATTTTGTATAATTAAGTATAGTCAATGAAATAAATTAATAATTTACAATTAAAATAATTTTAAATTATAACAAAAACTCTCAATTTAATATGCTAACTATTATAAATTAGTAATTGATCATGTATATTTTCGTACAGACTATTCGATGAGAACCCCACATACCAGGGCCTATTCAAGGCGTTCAAGGATGTGCCCAAAGCTGAACTCCGGGGTAATAAGCGATTCGTGGCTCACGTGACAAACGTTATGTACAACCTGTCAATGCTTGTGGACAACATCGACGACACGGATGTGTTGGTCGAGATGTTGGCCAAAATGGGAGACAATCACAACAGACATAAGACCACTCTTCAGATGTTTGTGAACCTCAAGACCAGTCTGTTTGGACTTCTGGTCGACAAACTCGGTCCCACTGTCATGACTGCCGATGCCGTTACCGCTTGGGATAAGACTTATTCAGTCATATTATCTGTTGTTAAGCCTATATTAGAGAAACCAGAATAAAGTTAAGAGAATATTCGCGATAAGAATGCAAATTGATATTATTGTCAGTTAATCAAACTAGGTTAAATAGAAATTTAGTAGCTATTACATTTTGCACTTGTATTTTGAAATAAAAATATAAGTACAGTAAATTTAAAATAATTAAATTAAAATTTAAAATACAAACACTTATTTTATCTTGTGTTAAATTATAAAAATATAAACCCAGTAGGTCCTTAATAAATATTAAATAAAATGCAAATGTCATTAAGAATACAGTTAAACAAATTGATAAAGTTTGTAATATAGGTGCAGAGTGCACTAAAAGTATTAATAAAACTAGATTTATTTTTAAAAATAAATTGATAAATTATTGAGTACTTTTCAGTGTATACTTATCACTGGTAAGTTACTAGTCAATTAATTTATATATCAATTTATCACTTTATTATCACATTATTACGTAATATTTCTGTTACATTAAGCACATGTATATAATATAAAGTTAAACCAATAATTTAAATTCTATACAAAATTATATCAATATTTAAATACAATTAATGACTAATTAAGGATTGATTTTCTATTATATTTTTTTTATAAATGTATGTTGATATTATTATTTTAATAAAAATTTATTATTATGTAAACTGAATTATATGTTTAACCCATATTAATTGCAAAAATTATTGTTGATTAAATCAATTCAAGGTTTACGATAAATACTTTGCTAAATAAAATCAATCTTAACATTACTTGTTATTTGTCGGACATTTAGTGCACTGATAGTCTGAAACACATTTTATTTCCCGTACCTTTCCTGTTCATACTATAAATACTAAACATTTTTATATGACTTTTAATATCNTGGTCTTGAGGTTCACAAACATCTGAAGAGTGGTCTTATGTCTGTTGTGATTGTCTCCCATTTTGGCCAACATCTCAACCAACACATCCGTGTCGTCGATGTTGTCCACAAGCATTGATAGGTTGTACATAACGTTTGTCACGTGAGCCACGAATCGCTTATTACCCCGGAGTTCAGCTTTGGGCACATCCTTGAACGCCTTGAATAGGCCCTGGTATGTGGGGTTCTCATCGAATAGTCTGTACAAAATATACATGATCAATTACTAATTTCTAATAGTTAACATATTAAATTGAGAGTATTTGTTAAAATTATTTTAATTGTAAATTATTAATTTATTTTATTGACTATACTTAATTATACAAAAAGTTATTTAGTATATCTATTAATTCTGGTATTAATAACTTGAAAATTAAAGTTTTATTTATTTATTAAAATAAAAATTTAATTTAAAACAATTGTATATACCTTAGGAATAAATCAGATCCATTTCCTTTGACATCCGTTCTGACCAGAGCCCAGGTATTCCTAACGATATCTTTCTCAGCCGCTGTTAAACTCATTGAATATTTTAATTGTTTCAGTAAATGAAAAGTAAAAACAAAATTATGCTTTGTAATTTATTGCAAAGTATATATTTTGTTGCTAAGAATGAAATACTAAAATAACAAATTATCACATCTCAATTTAGCTTTATATACAAAACTTTAATACAAAGGATTACGTGTGACATTCCGAAGTTCAAGAATTGCGAGGTTAAGTAGATATTTGAAAGTAAGCCCATACCTAAATCAAGTGCAGATCAAGTGCCATTTCAATGAAAATTGATAAATTTAATAATTAGCAAGCATTTTATCATTTATTGCGCTAGTTTCAACATTTTTGCATCACATAAATTATCATAATACACGTGATTTTGGCTTGTAGACTAATTTGTAAATTAGTGATATTGTATATATGAATATTATATTATATTATTGAAGTAATAATAAAATGAGCATAATTATGTCATAAAGACGTTAAGAGTAGTTACACTATTTGTAATAGTCTATTACAAACTAACCATTCTTTATAATTGTAATTAATCATCATATCTTATTTGTAATCATTGACATTATTTATGAAATGTAATAATAGTTATATTTTTGTTTAAGATTTTATGTTTAAACTTCTTTAATTAAACTATTAACTAAGTTTTTATAATTATGTTTTTAATCTAAACGTTATATAATGTACTAGGGAAAATAATAGTTAAAGTGTTTGTGTTTCAAGGACCTGGTTGTCATGCAATGATTTATTGGTTGCTATACAACAATAATTTTATCGGCGTTTACGGTATATCTCTTGCAATCGTTAAAATATTATTTCATATATAATATGAAAACACTTAAATTCAAGTAATTGTTAAAAATAAATGATCAGAATGAATTAAAAATTTACTAATTTGAGCACTTTTTATTAAAGAATTATAAAATGAATTTTTAACTTATAATAATATTAATTTAAATAAAA